AATCCATCTATCTATCTATCCATCTATCTATCTATCTACCTATCCATCTATCTATCTACCAATCCATCTATCTATCTATCTACCTACCTATCCATCTATCCATCTATCTATCTATCCATCTATCTATCTATCCATCTAACATCTGCATACTAATATCTGTAAAATGATAATGCTAAGATGCTCATATTTCGCAGGCTCAGTATCTTCCGCGTGTTTAATCGCTAACATTTGCTTATAAGCACAAAACAACAAGGTGCAGAGGAAGGTTTTGGATCAGCTTGGTGTTCAATTTCATGATCTAATGTTTCTAATCAATGTTTGCGTACGTTTGCAAAGGGAAGAGTCAAACAAACACAGGGCTTTTATCCAGTTGATTGCTGTATGTGCCCAAAAGTCAACATTTATTTATTTAAAATTACTTAAGCTAGGACGAGTGTGTGTACCAAACATCATAGAGCTACGCTAGCTAAATAGTGATCGTTTGAGACGATACATTACCTTAACGCATATCCCTTAAATAGTGTCTGCTAATCATGCAATTTAAAAAAGGAGGAACTTTCACGATGCGTCTTTTGCTGGAACTTTCAAAGTCAAAATTACTACATGTGTTATACATCCAGAAATCTCGAGATACCGTTTCCCGCAGTCCCACGGTGTGACATATATACATAAAACAAAACAAAAAGGGCCTAGATAAACGGGGTATACAATTTAAAATGTTAATAATATATTTAAAATGTTCAAAGTACAAAACTGATGATCTCTCAGTGTTACAGTAACAGTATGAGAATCTCATCGTGCACATTCAGCAGAGCAGACATCTGAGACCACGTCAGACACAGAGTGACCTTACACCGCCGTCACACTGTCAGCACGAGCCTCTCAGAGAAGTACACTGCAGACACTGAGAGGAGGTGAATGAACAGAAAACCAGAGCTACAAAATACACCAAAAATACTGAAAAGAACTGACATTTTAACTTTAATTGAATGTATTATGTCAACAAGTTTCCCATACCTGTATTAGGTTAGTTGAAAGCAATACTATTACGTTGAAACTAATGTTTTTTTGTTTAAACGTAATGTTATTGCTTCCAACTAACCTAATACAGTTATGTGAAATCTGTAGACATAATACATTTAATTAAAGGCAACGGTTCAGTTTCTTCAGACACAGAGTGACCTTACACAGCCGTCACACTGTCAGCCCGAGCCTCTCAGAGAAGTACACTGCAGACACTAGAGAGAAAGAGGAGGATGAACGAACAGAAAACCAGCGCTACCACACCTCACAACAAATCACCACCACACGGTCTCCATGTACCTCTTAGTGCGTCGGAACATGCTGGATATCTAGGCGTCGGTCTGGGGAGCGGCAGACGGAAAGCAGCAGGTTTCTGGGAAATGTGTTTGGATAAAAAGCTACCACAAGCTTCAAATGAGAGATAGTGTCTGCTGGGCAAGTGTGGGCAAAAACCAGAGGATGGAAAGAGAGGGAGGGAGGGAGGGAGGGAGGGAGGGTCTGCCTTTGCAGAGAGGAACAACAGAAGGGAGAGGCAGGAGATTGTGGGTCGTTTTCTCAAGGCTAAGATGCCACGGTACAGAGTGTCATTCCGTGACTTTTTTCTATTCTTTCAATGTCCGTGCTCTCAAAGAACACGACAGGCAGTTAAAAGCTTTTTCACTGCAGGCTAAATGAATGAGGTAAGTTATCTCCGCTGAAGACGTTACATCACTAAAACAGATGTTGAATGGAGTCAAACATTCAAAAGAAAAGCATCACGGATGACGATGCACGACACACACACACACACACACACACACACACACACACACACACACACCACACATCACACACACACACACCACACACAAACACACACAACACACACACACACACACACACACACACACACACACACACACACACACACACACACACACACACACACACACACACACACACACACACACACACACACACACACACACACACACACACACACACACACACACACACACACACACACACACACACACACACACACACACACACACACACACACACTTGATGAAGCAAGCAGATTGAATGTGAAGCTAACTCTAATGGATGATGCTAGCATCCTACATAGAGAGAAAGAAAGGACACATTCAAATGGGAGATGTCTCAAGTGCTGGTGGAAAAAGAAAAACACTAGAAGCAGTGGTTTAACATTTAAAGAAGTGATTGCAAAATGAAGTCTTATTCTATAGAAGTCTATGAGAAAATGACCCTACTTCTCTCTTGATTAATTACCTCAGTAAGCATTTTTATAATGAGTTTTGATTATTGATATATCATGCACTAAAATCAACAGTTCGACATTTGAAGAACTTATTGCAAAAAGTAGACTGATTATATAGAAGTCTATGAGAAAATGACCCTACTTCTCTCTTGACTTACACCTCAGTAAACATTGTTATAATGAGTTTATGGATGTTGGGCCACTGGTATTATTTAAAAGTCTCTTAATAAAAGATAAATATAATCTGAAAGCACTGGATCAACATTTAAACAACTGAATGCAAAAATAAGTCTGATTGTATAGAAGTCTATGAAAATATGACCTTCGACTTATTACCGTTAACATTTTCATAATGAGTTTATGGGTATGGGGAGTGATACTAACTTTATAAAAGGAACATTCATCATTTTATAATGACATGCTTTGATTTGAAATTCTGCAAAGAAGCTACAGCTATCAGTTCATGTAGTTGAGTACAAAGGTTAAAGGTCACCTATCATGCTATTTTTAGGCAACAGCATAGGTCTCAGATATAAAACTATATAAAAAACATGTCTATGAAGTGTTTTGCTCAAAATACCAAACAGATCACCCATTCTAGCCATGCCTCATATCCCTCTATTTCACTTCCTATTTCTAAAGTGCTGATTTGGGGTATAAAAACAGACTACTGCAACTCCCTCCTGGCTGGTCTACCTGCATGTGCCATCCGACCTCTGCAGCTCATCCAGAATGCAGCGGCTCGTCTGGTCTTCAACCTTCCTAAATTCTCCCACACCACTCCGCTCCTCCGCTCCCTTCACTGGCTTCCGGTAACTCCTAGAATCCACTTCAAGACACTGGTACTTGCTTACCATGCTGCGAATGGATCTGGCCCTTCGCACATCCAGGACATGGTTCAGCTGTACATTCCAGCGCGTGCACTACGCTCTGCATCAGCCAAACGACTCGCTGCACCCTCGCTGCGAGCGGGACCCAAGTTCCCATCAGCAAAAACACGTGGGTTTGCTATCCTGGCTCCAAGATGGTGGAATGAGCTCCCCATTGACATCAGGACAGCAGATCAGATAGCTTGCACATCTTCCGGCGCAAACTGAAAACTCATCTCTTTCGACTCCACTTCGAGCGATAGAACTATTAACAAAGCACTTATATACTAATAAAGGACTGGCTTATCTAACGCCAGTTGAGTAGCACTTGAAATGTTTTTGCTCTATGAAACCTGATGTACTTATATGATTCTGTTTTCTTCAAGTTTGTATTTTGTTGGTCGAACGCACTTATTGTAAGTCGCTTTGGATAAAAGCGTCAGCTAAATGCAATGTAATGTAATAAAGCTTTAAAAAAGAAAAAAGGTAACAAATAAAAAGGAGGGGTCTGAGCTCATGGACCCGGCAGCTACTGTCTAAACTAAATGCTGCCGTGATGAAACGCCATATCATGGATTATCAAGGATTCTCTCTGAAACAGTTTGGAGCTCAAAGGCTTTCTCTCTTACCGGTTATACCACAAGGTGAGTTCCTTTTTACTTCCTGCTTCTTCACACACATGCTCTCCAGTACAGGTTAGCTCTGAGTGTTAGCGATGCTAATGCAAACACCGACCATATTACGTCCAAAACAGTCGGGCATTGTTTCTGATAGCAACGTTTCTGATTGGGCCGTGGGTCCACATTTCAGATATTACGTCATATCGGACTCAAATCTGGATCAGCTCCGTTGTTCCCCGTTTTTAGAGATTTGGGTACGGAGGAAAAGAGAGAGGGTTTTATTTCCTGACGCTGCGTGAGTTCCCCGACACACCGGGGACACGTCTGTATGTATAAAAGACATCAACAAGTGCATTTTGCATGATAGGTCCCCTTTAAATGAGATAAATGGCATCTGAATGCGTCTGTGATTTGCTTTCATCACGTTGTATGCTTTTCAATTTTTTTGCCATCAGAAACAATGCCCGACTGTTTTGGACGTAATATGGTCTTTGTTTACATTAGCAAGCATCGCTAACACTCAGAGCTAACCTGTACTGGAGAGCATGTGTGTAAAAAAGCAAGAAATAAAAAAAGGAAATCACCTTGTGGTAAACCCGCAAGAGAAATAGCATTTGAGCTCCATACTGTTTCAGAAATAATCCTTGAGCATTTAGCTGAGTATCTCGAATAATTCTGAGCAGGCAAAAGCTCCCCCTAAGGACCCAGAATCAGCGTTTCTCTAACAGGGCTGAAATAGAGGGATATGAGGGATGTCTAAAATGCATAATCTGTTTGGTATTTTGAGCAAAACACTTCATAGACATGTTTTTTATATATTTGTATATATCTGAGACCCATAATATGCCTAAAAATAGCATGATAGGAGACCTTTAAATCATAGAGCAGTGCTGAAAACCAGAGGGGTGGCAATATGAGAGAAACAGATGAATAACTAAGCAATGAAAGGGAAGAGGGGGAGATGAAGAGGAAGAAACTGAGCAGAATGGATTTCAGCACCATGGATAGCCTCCAGAGCTCCGGCTGCTTTAATCAGACGCCAACAGACTAACCCTCTCTATCCAACGATTGCACACTCCACGCCACAAGCACCGTCCTAAGAGCTTTCAGAAACCCAACGTGCTAATCATGCTTAGCAGCTTCTCTAGGTGTGATTGTTTTTCTCTCGCCCTCTCCCCCCTGAGAGAAGGGGAAAGAGACGCTGAGATGAATCAGGGAAGCACTCACCTGCTGTTCTTGCGAGGAAGTGGCAAATCCTGGTGGAAAAAAAGACAAAGAGAAAGAGAGATCAGGTACAGAAATACACTTTCTCATGAGAACAGCTTGACATTAACACCCAATGCTGGTAAACTGGCTTTTATAAGTGCAATGGTTAAAGAGACCTTTAAACCTTTAAATCCCTTTAAATCCCTTCTTAAATCTGATTATCTGAACATGATACATTTAAAAAAGGAAGCTTTGAAGACATTATAAGGTGGGGAGAAACACCCATGCTGTATTTTATGTACAGTCCTTATTTTTGTCAAATATCTGTTGACACATGAATACAAAGTGGAAAATAATTAGCGTGCCTGCCCCATGATTTGGATCAGCCCTAAAATGTATTTGTGTTGGGCCAGCCATTTTAAGTAATCAATCCTATTTTTGCCTGGTTGATGTAGCCTCATTACCCATTATACTAGGTGATCTTCTTCAAGCTGAGTTAGCTGAAAACATTCAAAAGTCAGCCAGAGATGAAATATTCAGCCAACTCGTGGACATACTGTTAACGTCATTATATTAGCGTCCTTACTATAGCTAACTAGCTAAAGCTGATCAAAATCTGCTAGCAACAGGTGTCCTTTCAGTTGGCAAGATCTACAGTCTCCAGCTTTCAAATGAGAACCAATTTAATCAAGTTCTACATTTTTGAGCTGTAATCTTTCCTTATGGAGCTTGAAAGGAGTAGCAGCAGTAGCTAGCTTTAGCCTCATTGTATTAGCATGATCTCTTGTGAGTCACCATCAAATTAAATGTAAACTCCTTTTACTGGCCTCTTTACTTCAAACCTTGTCAGCTGGAAACCCTACAAAGTCAGCCAGATATAACATTTTAAACCAACTCGTTGATATAACGTTAGCATCACATCGATAGCATCATTACTGTTGCTAACTAGCTAAAGCTGATCAAATCTGCTAGCAACAGTTGTCATAGCAGCTGATACAATCTAAGGTCTCCAGCTGGAAAAATGTACCATCTTTAAAATAATCATTAGTTTTTGAGCTGTAATCTTTCCTTATGGAGCTTGACAGGAGTAGCAGCAGTAGCTAGCTTTAGCCTCATTGTATTAGCATGATGTCTTGTATGTCACCATCAAATTATATTTAAAACTCATTTTCCTTGGCTCTTTTCTTCAAACATTATCAGCTGGAAACCCTACAAAGTCAGCCAGATATAACATTTTAAACCAACTCGTTGATATAACGTTAGCATCACATCGATAGCATCATTACTGAAGCTAACTAGTTAAAGCTGATCAAATCTGCTAGCAACAGTTGTCACCGCAGCTGATCAAATCTATGGTCTCAAGCTTGAAAAAGGTACGATCTTTACAATAATCATTAGTTTTTGAGTGGTAATCTGTCCTTATGGAGCCTGGCAGGCAGCAGGGTGTGGCTGACTGAGCGGGTAATTACTACAACCTGAGCCCGGGGTTGTTAGCGGCCCCTGGGGGTTTTGGGCCCTGGAGATGCCCAGCTGGCTAACGAGGTAACACATGCAACTAGAATTTAAATTATCGTATGATGTATTTGCATCCATGTTTGTTTACAAACCAGCCAGGCTGTTCATTTCTGCCTCTGCCTCCCAGCTCCCCCCCCCCTTATTTCTCTCTCTTTTTCTATCCTCCCATCTCCTGAGTCCAGATGGACGGAGTAGATTGCGCAGCAGCAGCAGACACTCTGTGCACAGAATAGAAAACAGCGTGAGGCGAGCCAGATCTCATGCCAGCACAGCCTCTCTATAAAACCCTGCGATAGAGAGGGATGGAGCAGGGTGTAAACAAGGTCGGAGTAGAAGCTGAGAGAGAAGCGGGATCATGCCATCAGCCTGAGTACTCTGGGATTCAGATTCTTACTTATAGTATATTCATGTTATTCTAATTTATACTTCTACCCCACTACAGTTCAGAGGTAAATGGTGTACTTTTACTCCATTACATGTATTTATACCTTTAGTTACTTTACAGATGTGGATGCATGATGTGAAATATAACCAAGTGTTGAATCAGACTTTAGTTCCACCTGGAGTAAATCCACCAGCTACCCTGCAGTATACAAAGTACTTCAAACTAGCTGCACCTTCACCAGCTTTGAGAACACTTTCATGATCAATCATTATAAAACATATTTTGAAATAGTCCAATCTGCACAATGACTTATTTTACTTTTGGTACTTTAAGTATATGTTGATGATAATACTTTTACTTGAGGAACATTTTGAATGCAGGGCTTTTACTGAAACAGAGTATTCCTACACTCTGGTACTTCTACTTTTACTCAAGTACAAGATCTGAGACTGAGTACTTCTCCCACCTGTGGTCTGTGTAGTAAATGCTGTTTCAGATGTGAGCCATCACTACACAGTATACAGCAGCAGATATAATTAATGCATTAGCCGCCTCACACCTTCTCCTGTCACACTGCAGGGTAATGCTGTTAGCGACGCATCGACCGCACGCTAACCACACTCAATGCAATTATTAAGTTAACCTTCAGATAAAGTGTTTGTGTGTGTGTGTGTGTGTGTGTGGACCTGCTGCTATTGATCCCCACTGAAGCAGAAAATATGTATTATAGTGCCTGAAAGCTCTGTGCTACAAGGACAAGCCTGCAACTCAGCAGACCCTTTTTAGTTGCTGTCAGCCACCATACAGAAGGTTGACTCTATGACAACAATAACCTCCAGAGGATAAAGCCGAGGAGTGAGGAAACACATCACGAAACACTCACACGATAGGGAGAAAATAAAAATAATTATCCTGCCTTCCTTATAATCCAGTCTCAAGGCTATTCCACAGCATGTCCCGAGGGTTTTACGTGTTAACAGAGACAAATCCCTCCTCACAAGGACAGCTGAATATTCAACCTATTGATCCCTTTTCACTTCGTCCTCCATTGATCAGGCTAATTGACCCTGAGCCGTCAGAGCCGAGGAGACGATGACTTACAAGAGCGAGAGGCTTCAAGAGAGGCTTCCCCCTGATGAGCAGGGTTAACTAAACACATAAAACAGGAATAGACTTGAGCAGCCACAAATACACAGTGTAAACACAGCCATATGAAACCCCATCATGTCACTCAGAATGAACTGTATTCTTTCATGTGTGCATTGCATAATAAACTGTTCAACAGCCAGGGGTTTAGAATAACTGAGCTCATTAGGCCAAAGTCCACCAAAGGAAAACAGGAGATTTTGAACAAACAACCTAAAGAATGTCTTAATTATTGATATGCCAACCCTCACACATTGAGCGTGAGAGTCTGAGCTCCCATGAAAGTTATTTACTTTAACGAGGTAAACCAGCTAAAAGAAAACCAAAAGAAGTACGCATCGTATTCTCTCTTGAATGACAATATGCCTGCACGCCTGCAATCAGGGATGTAGTGTGGGATTATAATGTATAATGTCCTTTATTGTTTTATGTTTCATGTGGAACCTATATGCTGCAGGTCTCCCTTGAAAAAGAGAGCTATGATCTCAATGGGACCAATCTCATTAAATAAAGGTTTGAAATGAAATGAAATGAGTGCTGCCGCCGGAGAGCACCGGAACGCCGCTCCGAGCGAGAGAGGGTGCAGGTACCTGGCATTGTTGTTGTTATCTTAGTGGGTTTGGACACCATTTATGTAAACAATTATTTCCAAGGCACACATGTATATGATCAGTATAAAACAATAAGAGAATAAATGAAAAACAGTTATGGAATACTATATGACAGTAAAACAAGAATAGAGTTTAATGTGATTTGTAAAATATCCATAAAGAAATTGTAAATCTGTTTACAGTTCTGTTTCATATGGGTGTTGAGAGACGTATCCATAGATCTCTTCATGTTGCTCTCAAAGTGCACCAGATTGATGCTTTAAACTTCAATATTTAGCATGCCCCCGGACCCCCCTAGAAGATTTTCATCCCTTTCAAGTTATGTTTGTCAATTTTTTATGCAAATTGTTTGTACATTCAATACATTTGTAACACTGGACACATGAAACATGAAAGTTTATTTTTTTTGTTCACCTCCCCCAAAAAAAATATCTCACTCCAAGCTGAACTCAAAGGTTGGCAGCCCTGTATACAATATATACAAATACACAATATTGGACACAGACTATAAAGGGCACACAGTTTCATTCACTAATGAAAGTCAAACACATGTTTGTTTCCACTGTGTGCCTGTCGCGATAAGCAATTCATTGACTTATCGGCTCCAAAGTATTTGTGTTGGGTAATCTATGGTAGGGCCGGCTAACCCATAGTGGTGGGGCTCAAGTCAGTATTACATACACGCTATATCCACCCCTTGACAGTGAAACGCCACGCGTGAGGTTTAGATTATTTCCCTGTCTCAATCCAAATTAAACTGTATGAAACAAAAAGGCACATTTGTCTTGTAGTAAATAAAAAGGGCGACCTGGAGCCAATCCTGTATTCCCTACAGGTGAAAGAGTTGACATGCTGAAAACCCAACCCCTGCACACATTCTGGTACTCTCTCGAGAAGAAAAATGAATAAATCTATTACTACACATTTAAAAAAATGAATGCCATTTTAGTTTTTTGTTCTGAAAGCTGAACCTGCTGCTCCTCACAGAGAGAAGAGGCTGTGAATTACTTTACATTGTGGATAAGGGTGGATAGCCCCCATTGTTCTGTGTGTCAAAATGAAAGACAGCCCACAGACCTATCAATCATCAAACCGTGGGGTCTTAATTCATTACGTATTGATTTCTATCAACACGTAATGTTGTATCGATGTATATAGAGATGTACTACAGCAAAACAATTCTCCGTCGGGACTTCCTGCAACAACACCACGCCGTTATCTTGATTCTGATTGGCCAGAAGACATTATCAAAGATGTTCTATTAAGAAGACGATCACTACGTGACAAAAGTTTTCAAAACCGTTTCTAGTCTTCGGTATTCTTGTTTTACGCGTGAGAATAGTTTGGGTAGCGTGAGAGCGTGAGATTGAGAGTGAAAGCGTGTGTCACACGC